AAACTTACACATATGCAGCTTTTTAATGTTAATAACATCAAATATTTATATATTATCTACATGAGTATAAAAATGTAACAAATATAAATGTACAGTGTACTTAAATGTACTTAGATATTTTATAATGAACGTAATTATTATCATATTAAGTTAATTGGAAAGTTCTGTCAGTTTTGTTTAAGAAAAGAAATCAGTGTTAAAGAATTAAATTATTTATTAATTAATATTAATGTAATATCTATTGTTATAATACACATGTTTTTAAATATGCTAAATATGGATCTGATTTTAATGAAATCAACTAGATTGTTCATTTATTGCTATGTGGTTAATCATCAAGATTAAAAACCATTAACCAAAATTTTTTTAGTTCATTGTGTAAACAAATATAATACTTGGTCCAATAATACAAGAAAAATTTTTAGTCATCTTTGTTGCACATTTCTCCATTTAATATTTGTACAAAATGCAATGTCTAAGATTCATTTTACCATAGAATCTGTTTGCTGGCCAAATTCGCTATTTTGTAATATACGTTTGAACACTTATTGGTTAAAATTCTACTTACAATGCATAAAAATCTATAAAAAATACTGTAAATGTACATAAAAATCCAACAGTGAATCTTTTTAATAAGCTTAATATTATAATTGAACAGATTTTACATCAGAAAGTAATACTTCTTTCCAAACTTTATTGCAAACATAATTTTGTTGATTTGTATTTACAAATATTGTCATAAATTATTTAAAAATATATAACTATTAAAAATAAGATTCTACTATATTTAAATTCTAATAAACTTTGTACATGCATATGTTGAAAATATTAACATTCAGCCACAAAAGATAAAGTTTTAGAAATTTATATTATTATTTCAAACATTACTTGCCAGAAAATTACTGTGAAATAGTTGAAAAAGTATAGTATCTGACAAAAATGAAACACAAAGACAAATGTAGAAATAAATTAAGAAATAATATGCACGACATATTAGTTGTGTTAAAGAATAAATTCATTCTCAATATCATAAGTAACTTTAAAATAAAATCTTATGTGCTTTAATAAAAGAAGGAGATGATGAAGGGGAAAGAATCAATAAAAAAATTATACAATTTCTATTAAAAATTAAATTTCCTTCATTTTTTAAGACAAAAGGTTATTTATGCTGCTGCGTGACACTAAAATATTCATAAGTAAATCAATTAAAACGTCACACTAAATAATGAATTGTAGTATAATGTAATTGCAATATATTATTTTATGATAAAGTCATACTTATATGAACTTCTACATTATTGGATTATTGACAAAGGCATTGATAACAATAAAATACTGTTGTTTGCTACTCGTATCTCTCCTAAAATTTCTTGTTAAATTAAAATATAAAACTTAAGAGTTTGATGGATTATGTAATAACTTTCACTTCTAATAACTTCACAATTTAACTACTGACAAAAAATTTATTAATAACAAGAAATTCCTGCAATAAGAATTTTAGCAAAAACTTGTTACACATTGAGATTTATCTATATTCCATTATTATTTTTCGCCTAAGATTCTAATATTTCTAATTAGAGATTCTTCTCTAGTATAATAATAGTATCACAAATTACTAATATTTGTTGTACCAAGGATTTACCATAAAAATCTCTCTTCTTCTGAATAATTCTGATCTTATAACTGACCTATGTCTTAACAGGTTTTCTGCATCTACTTACCAAAATCTTTCCATATCTACTATTTCAGTAGTGGTTCATAGAGTCGTATAGTTAAAAAAATGAATATACACATCTTATTTCTCTGAAAAATACGTAATTGTGAAATAAATTTATTTACTGAAATTAAAAATTTTAATATTTTAAAAAAAATATGCATTAAATAAAACAAAAGTCAATAACAGCAACAAAACGAACAGATTTTACCAACAAATACGCAGGTATTAATAAATATTTAAAAATAATTATGCCAGTAACTTCAAGTTGCTCTTATTTACTTTTGTAGAAATATTGACTAAAATCGTAAAATATAAAAGCTAATGATACTTTTTGTAGCAAAAAAGAGGGATTAATAAATTATACGACTCAGATATGAAGAAATAAGAAAGTTAATAGATGAAATTCTTAATATTTATACTGTAAAACTTGTTATTATCCTCTACCGGTGTTTATCTCATAGACTTAAATCTATAAATATTAAACGTTCCTCTATTTATAATGTGTTGTCTTTCGCTTTGTGTCAATCAGTTATTGGTCTGTAATAGACTGTAATTTTTAGTAATTTGCGAAATTTATACTATTTAACTGTGTCAAAAGTGTATATAATCTTATTACACAAGTCAAATTTCATCATTAATTATTTGAAAACATTTCAATGTTTTTCCACCTCTTGATGATTTACCCTATTAATTCTCTTTCTATGCTGTATAAGAATAATTTATTATAACTTCTACATGTATTTATATATTTATTGGTGCAATGTGTGTTATGAAGTACAAAGTATGTATTACTGATATTGCGTTTGTTATAATTATTAAAACAATTTTGTAAGCTTTCGCATAACTACTTCTGAACTTGTAATTCTTTGAATTTTAAATGTGACTATCGTTAAACAAACCTACAAAAGATCAATATAAAATGTAAAATGTAAATTAAAAAATAAAAGGTAAATGGACAAGGGATAGTTATGTTAAAAACTAATAAGTTTATAGGATATTAAATATATTCATGATACTGAAGTGGTTTGTGCGAAAGTGTCAAAGTTTTATATTGTAGTATTGTTAATCATAGTTAACGGTTAATTAATATACTCAGGATACAATTAATTCTATATTAATAAAACAGCATTATATAAAGTAATGTAAGATTGTTGACGTACAAAGTAAAGCAATACAAAAATCAAAGCACAACTCATTTTATTAAGTTGTATTGAGAATGGAACACCGGTAAATATTATTTGCGTAAAAGGTTGACCATAAGGTATTATAAAATATTAATTTGCTTTCCACCTTATACGTATTTATTGTAAGTAATAGTTGTTTATTATAAATAAGAATGAAATCACTTGTGTATCAGTTAATTGCTACATTAAAGTGTTGATATTATACTCGTTCAACTTGTGTTTTAATACCTTTGACAAACATATAAATAAAATCATTTTTTAATCAAAAGTAATTCAATTTACTTTAAAATAAAAAAGGTCGACATAAAAAATTAATTTAAAAATATACCCAGTTCTGTATACTACAAATTATATATTTTTTATTAAATACAAAGTATGTTATCAGTTAAAAGCTTCGGAATTAAAAAAAAAATGTTCCCGAATTCGACGTAACTGCATCGTATATAAAAGTGTTATGAACTGGTTTATATTGATTTGTAACAAATTTGATCACTTCTTGGGCTACAAGACCACCTAAAAATGCTGATACAGAATGTAATTCTGATCCACCAAATCGACAAAACTCATGTATATAATCATCTTTTGCTAACGGTCCACATCCCCATTCAATCAGTAATTTTGTTATACATGCCTAGAAAAGAATTAAATTATAATAATTCAAATTATAAATTATTTTTTATATTTTAAAATATTGCAAATATTAATTGATAAAAATTACTTTGAGTTTAACAATATCAGGCTCCACTTGATCATCAAATTCTCCAGGATATGAGTTATACTCTGTTTGAAATTTTTCAATTCCTCTAAGAACAACATAGTAAATCATCATACTTTCTGGATCTTCTAAACTTTGTACTAAAAAAAAGTTCTATGTAGCTTTTACAATCATACAAATTTACAAACATTATAATATTTATAAAACATTACCTATATTACTTGCATCGAATATTTTAGAGTCATATTCATCGGCAATACACGTTCCTCTTTCAAGATGTATATCAGAAGCATGTCTACAAAATAATTTTACATCTCTTTCGGAAATATAATCAGATGGTTTTCCTAGTTGTCGTAATAATTGCAACGTACGACGCCACACAGCTTCTGCGTCAGCCACTGCTTGTTTATAGTAACTAGAAGATGTAAATATAAATTTAACAGTTAATAACAATATTTTAAGAAACAACATCCATAGAAAAAAATCTTACATTTGTTGAAGCATTATATATTTTTCAGTATCTGCTGTCATATCTGGTAAGGTACCTTTTAAAGGCAATAAACCATCTCCTTCATTCTCACAGAAGTCCCTTACAGCTTTTGCAATAATCCAAAATGAACTGCTCTGAAAATGTATTAAATAAAAATATAATTCTACAATATTGTAATAGTTATAAGCAGTGATGAGACCAAGTATAACATGGACTTATTGTTATAAATCCATAGTTATTACGAATTATCAATCGATTCAATATCTAAAATTTGTTTGATCGAGTCTCATTAATACTAAGAAAACAACTAACTGTTCAATCAAATTGTTTAACAAATCATGTTCATGTATTTTACCCAAAGAGAAAAATATTTGTCATTGCAACTTTTAAATTATGGACAGTAAAAAAAGCTTTCCAAGTAAATATTATTGAATTTAACAACTACCTGAATATAAAAAAAATTAATAGAACCTCCCATTAAAAAAGAATTAAGAAAATCCGTCTGTCTCTGTAACAGCCCTCCCTTCTCCTAAAGAAAGCTACTTTTATTCTAGATGACTAGTTTCTCTGCTCTCCTCATTTAATTAAAAAAAATCTATATATATATGCACACATGTATATTTCATACTAGTATCTATATTAGCAACTGATCAGGAAATACCCAAGCAATAACAAAATATACTTTATTAAAATTTGAGTGTATAGATAAATATTATTTTTATTCTTTGAAGTACTCACACAGAATCAAAACAGATGTCATCAGGTTTTGATATTGTATGCAATATATTGTTTGAAAAGAATGCTATCATCAAGGATAAATAATGATACTATCACATATGTTCTACACCTGTATGATTTTTTACAAATTTATCATACTACACATGGTCCCATCACTTTGTCATAATTCTTTTCTTTCTACCTTTGCTGTTAAGTTAACACATTGTTCATCATTCAAAACATTCTTCACATTATCAGGAATTTTCGTATGTCCTATACATGTATTCACAGCTTTAATAGCTTCTTCAAAATTTTCTTCAGTATTTTTTGTATCATTTTCATCCCTTCTTATTCCTCTTTTTATCATTTCTTTTAATTGTTGTTTTTCCTTATATGTTTTGGGTAATTCTCCTTTTTCTTGAATCCATTTTTCTAAGAATTTATACAATATAACTAAGTATGGTACATGAGAGTGGTCTTTGAAAGTCATTTCATCAAGATTTACTGAATCTAGATGTTTTTTTAATGTTTCAAAAGGTTTATCCAAACGTAAATCTGGTGTTTCATTATCTGGATGCGTTTCTATAATCGTATGGTCTTTTACTTGAATTCTTATATATGCGATAAATCCTATGCTTCTGCTTACTAACAATGGTATATTTAGCTCCCAAAGTCTTTGTGATAACAGAATTAAAGACCTAAAAACAAATTTTCTTCTTTACACATTTCACTTAGATTAAATAAATTCCTGGATAATATTTATAGTTGTACTCTTACTTTTCATTAAGCGATGTAGCTACAACAACGGTAAAATTGTTGAAAAAATCTGGACTATTATATAAAATTTGTTCAGGTTCTTCATCTATATAATCACCTCTAACGTCTGAATTTAATTCTAAAAGCATTTGCATTGCTATTTGTGCCCTTGATTTTCCAACACTATCTGCTTCTAGGAAAAAGCTATTCAAATTGATTTAATAATTAAATTTAGTTCCAAGAAATTACTTTCATGTATTAAACAATTATTATAAATGATATACTAATATACGTACTTTGCACCAATGTCTTCATTAGTAATCTTTTTACCATCAACAATTGTAAATGCTCCAATACCTGGAAGGACTAAGGATTTCAAAATTTCTGTACCAAGTCCTGTAGCATTTATGAGACAAACATGGGAACTTTCTAATGCTGCTTGTCCATGATCGCCCCATAATCTGTGTATATAGACATTAGATACTTTGTTATTAGGAAAATAAAAACTGTATGTAATAGAACTTATTATAAAATATATAAAATGATTGAACATGTGTAGGTATATTAGTTACTATTAAACCATACAATAATGTTACTTAACAAAAATGTATATTAAGGTTTAATAATTCCTAACCCCCAAAAAAAATGTCCATAAGTTTTATACCTCAATTGTCTGTCATATTTTCTATTTTTTTCAGATTGTTCGGGCGATTTGGGTGCTGGTGATGCCATAAGTACTGATTAATGACAACAATTCAATAATAACACTTCACTTTTAAAAATACTGTATAACGCACTTACAATTGGCGATACATAACAATCGCGCTCGTTAAGTACATAGTTACGTCTGAGAAACCATGAACCAAATTTTTTCATAGACAAAAAGATGTGTGAACAATCTACATTGTTTGAAAATATAATTTTAACCGAATATTTGATTATAAAATTTATTACATTAAACAAATACTTTTGTTGTACCTTCACACGTATAATAAAAATCTTTTTACAATTTATGACTGTTATGCTTGAAAATTATAAGAATCGGTCGAATAATGTTTTATTATATATATAGAAGGCAGAAAATTATAAAAATAATTAACAAAAGGCGACCTTTAAACCATGTATTTAATAATATAGAGGGTGCTTTACGTAACTAGAACAGGCTTATCTCCTAAACAATTGAAAATAGAAGAAAATGTTATGAATGAAAGTTAAATGGTATTTTTGCACTGATTCCTCGGAAAAATGAAACTGCATTTTTCAAAAATGAAAACTTATGTTTCTAATTGCATTCGGTGCAAATATTGTCGAAAACGTAATTATAAGCAACCTTTTTCTATAAATATATATATATATATATAACAACGTCGCTGTTTCTTAGATTCCGAGATAATCGCAAAAACGTTTTGGTACTACTGCATTAAACTGTGCTTATACGTGCATGTCCGACTAACGTGTGCATCGGCCTAATGCAGCTGCTTATCTGCAGCTTCTACTATATACATGCCTTTCACATTAGTTCTATCGGCCTTAGGTTTAAAAATGCACAGACGCAAGGGAACTCTTCCATTCACGACACTCGACTTTCAACGCATGGTCATTATTGGCACACACAGAAGCCTGAGCATCGTGAGTGGAAGAATCCCCTTGCCCCTATGCACATTTAAACCTATGGCCGATGAAGCTAACGTGAGAGGCGTATTGTATAAAAGCTTCACAATGGATGAGAGTCCGTAGATATAACGGGAGAACTGATTGAAACAGAAATCATGGCGATAAGGCCAATTTTCACAGAACCGGCATATATTGTAAAAATAGATATTTTCATCAACTTTTTCCTCCGACAAGAATAATAGCAATTGGTATTAGTGTTGGGGTAGTATTTTTATTCTCATCAAATTTAATACCACAAATATAAATCTCAAATTCACCATCTTTTAGATGTAAAAGTCTTAATTAAAATCATCAATACTATATTTCATTTATATAAGCATCAATCAATTAGAACCATATTTTTTATAAAGGATTCCAATGTATCTGTTTTGAACTTTTAGGTGTAATTGCATTTTCCAAATATACCAATGCATAAAAATATATAAAATTGTTTCCAAATTATAGTTTCATTGAATACCACTTAATTTTGACTTAGAATATTCTTTTCCTATTTCTAACAGCTTGAAAAATACAGCTTATTCCAGTTGTATGAAATATCTTATACATGGACACTCACAATATACTATTAATGATTAATAATGATCTAACAACTTCTTTACTATAAAGAATTATTTTACAAATAACAATTTTTCTATTCTCATAATCTAAACACATAATTCACTTTTTTTATTTTAAAGTTTTTTACCTCTTCCATTAACATTTATTTTAATACAAGAACATTACTGGACAATGAAAGAGGCAATAATGGATATAAATAAAATTTGAACTTGTAATACAATAACTATAATAATGTTCTAGTGATCATAAAGATTTACTACAAAATTGACAATTTTCAATCTGTAATTTCTTTTTCATGCTTTTGCATGAAACTTGTATCAATAGTATGTACAAAAGCTATTGGATCAAAATGAAGTTGACCTAAATTATAATATCTTTCTTCACTTTGATACCATTTTTGAAAACTAAAATCATTGAAAAATATTGTTATTTCCCTTTTTGCAGATTGTTCAGAATCTAAAACAGTAACTTCGTATTATAAATATAAACGAATCAAGGACAACTTTTTATAAGAAGTATTATACCCGATCCATGTGTAGCATTTCTTGTATCTGATAGACCAAACATTCCTCGAATTGTATTAGGATCACTATATTGTGCACGATAAACTTTTGTAGGACCCATTAATTTTCTCCATTTGGCAATGGCATCATAAGCAGCTAAGATATGAATATCAGATGGACCACTACACATAAATGTCAAAAGTCGATTATAAAAGAATTTTTTCTTATGCTCTTCATAAAACAATTCAGCCTCTTTTGGTGTAATTATTGTCCTGCGTGATCTGACAATTTTAAAATTATTGTCAATTATTAAATTTCGAATTTTCTGTAAATTAGAACAGTGTTTTAGATAATAATTTTATGATTAAATAAAATGTAAAAAATTAATATTCCTAAAAATTATTTTGTACCAATATAACTTTATATACATACTAAATTTTAAGATGTATAAAATTCAGGTTAGGTTTCCTTACCTGGAGTACAAAGGGAGACTTAACAACGTAAGGTTTAATGATTGCCAATGTCAGCTGAAGAGGTTGTCGTAATTGCATATTGTCATATTTTGCTCGATATTTTTACATAAAACACGAATTTTATAATGCGGTAAAAATAATCTAAAATGTCTCATAAGTTAAGAGACATCTCGTGTTCCTTTAGAGTGATATTCATATTATTATATGTTAACTTTAATTACAAGCATGTCTTTGATAAATAAAGTAATTTATATTAACATATACAAATATAACATAAAAATAAAAATAGGCATATAAAAATTATGTAGTACGAGGGTACACGTTTTTAGCGGATGTACATTTTCTTCATATTATTTAATTTAAAATATGCAATAATTAACTTTTGTTTGAAAAGAAATTGTAGTAGAATCTCCTCTATACGAATTAATAGGTAGACCAAAAGTGTCTAACATACTCTCCTCACATTAATAAGTCGGAAACAGCGTTCATGTTCAATACTAACAGATGAAAGTAAGTATAGAGAAGGTAACTCTACTATAATGTGAGGAGAAAGATCCTAAAGAACTCGCAAGCTCCCAGTTCGACACCTTTACCATAAAACGTTATAGTAAGTACCTTCAAGGGCTCTTCTTTTATAAATCAGAGTATAAATAAAACTAAATAAAACTAAATAAAATTATGTAAAACTATATATAAAAGTCAATATAACTGTATAAAGCTAAATAAAACTAAATAAAACTAAATAAACCTAAATAAACCTAAATAAAACTAACTAAAATTATATAAAACTATATAAAACTGTTAATAGATTTCGCAATATCTGTGCTATATTAAAAAGCTGTTTAATACATTTTTTAAGTGATAATTCTAAAAGAAATTGTTGGATTAGTTACTTATTATCGTCTCGCTGGTTCATAGTTTTAATTGTTATTGTTATTAAAAGATCAATTAAGAAATCCGTAGCTGTTAATTATTTATTTTAAAAAATTATTAAATAATCGCCGATATGTAAAATGGTAATGCAACTTTTTATATAAAATAATACTTTTTCAATAGTTTCTACAAACTTTAGTTAACATATATATTTTATATTTAAATAACAGTTATAACAAGTTTAGAAATAAGTATAATTCTTAGATTTATTACAAAAAATGTGTATAAAGTCCTTTACGCAATAAAAGCCACGAAAACAACTGATTGCGCAAATAACGCAAATGTACCGATAGATAATAAACAATTATTCATAAGAAGAGATTGTACGACATATATCCATAGTTATTACTATTACTACAAAATATTAATATACATTTTCAATTTCATAATGTCCATTGTCATTTATGTCAGTAATTCTGTATTATAATTTCTTTAACGAATAATAAACATATAAAGTAGGAAATCAAGTGTTCTCAATAAAGTAATTACATTTCAGATGGTAATTTTTATAAATTAATTTGCATAATGTAATATTTGTATGTCTCTGTTGTTTTTTTTCATACTATACATATTCTTATTTTTGAATCAATTTCAATTGTATGTGAATAACATTGAAATTATCTCGAATGATGATATTTTGTTTTCATTTCACGATCAGCGAAGAATGACACAAACACCGGACAATGAAATGATCAACAGATTAAAAAGGCAAAACATGCATTTGTAACCTGACAGAATATTTACGAAAGTCTTCTTTGTAACGTACTTTCTTTTACAAACATGTTCAATCTCAACATTACAAGTTACATGAACCAACTTAAAAATACTATATTTTTGTCTCTTTGTCGAAGAGTTCCACATCAAAGCAATCGTCATCACTGTAGATTTTTATCGAGTGAAAAAAAGGCCGAAGAAGCCATCAAGAAACCACCCAGCGAAAAAGAGAGTCTTGTTGCTGCGGAACTTGCCCTTATAAAAAAATGCAAAACGCCTCCAGAAGTTAGCGATCAACAATGTTTTACTGTAGTCTTCCTCATCCAAAAAATTTATATTTTCAAAATATTTTCATTTTCTTTCATTCCTTCGTCAATTCTATCACTGCTTTTATGCTGTAATTTAAGTGCTGACGAGAATGTCCTCTTAATAATATTTTAATAATCAAATCGATATAAATTACTTCCTCAAACTATTTAATTTGCACAAAAATATCGATATACTTATATCTACTTATCAGTATTTTTGTGCGCTACTACGATATCATTCGTATATTTTCATAACATTATTTCGCTTCAAATTACAATGAGTTAATCGAAAAATACCGGTATTTCGCGTTTGAATAGTGTCGTTTGTTAACCATTGCTTTAACAAGGCTGTGAACAATTTGTAGAGACAGTAACAATTTATTTTTCACAACTGTTTACTTTTTTATTGGACAATTGTACAATGTTCACATATTATTAATTAATGTTTTCGCACCAAAGGAAGTAGAGAAGCCGAGGCTACAGACGGTGCGTGTATATCGTTGGAATCCAGAGAAACCAAATGTAAAGCCTTATATGCAACAGTTCGCAGTTGATTTAAATAAATGTGGAACCATGGTATTGGATGTATTAGCTTTGATAAAGGCACAACATGATCCTACATTATCCTATCGAAGATCATGTCGTGAGGGCATTTGCGGAAGTTGTTCAATGAACATAAATGGTGTCAATACTTTGGCTTGCCTCACGTAACTTGCATTTTACTGAAAACGCATTTCTGACTTCTTAAAAATGACAATTTATACGAATTTCATTTATATATCATTATCTATATCCGATCGATGGATAGTATTCTATATTTCTTTAGTCGTGAAGTTTTAATATATTATTTTACCCTTAGAAAAGTGAAGGAATCACCTAAACCAATAGTCATACATCCTTTACCACATGCGTATGTTATCAGAGATTTGATAACGGACATGGAACTATTTTTGAAGCAATATCAAAATATTGAGCCGTTTTTAAAGCGCCCAGGGGAAGACAATTTTACTGGCCTACGACAGATTCTACAGAGTCCCAGAGACAGAGATAAACTGAATGGCTTATATGAATGTATACTTTGCGGATGTTGTACTTTTGCCTGTCCGCCTTATTGGTGGCTCGGTGATAAGTTCTTGGGACCAGCAACTCTTTTGCAGGTATGTTGCAATTCACTTGTAAAATGCACGACTTGAGAAATCAGTTTATGAAAAAAAATGGTAAGGTTCCATTAAAAAATTTTCGATGTGCAAAAAAAATGTTACTAACTAATGAATCATTTATTAAAACACTGAAAACTTTTTGTTTGAAGTTTTTTTTAATTTTATTTGGAACAGAACTACATATTGCCTTAGTTAGTAGGATAATCTGCACAATATAAGAATATAGTATTCTATAAATTAAATAAAAATTGCAACGTTTTAAACTAAAATGTACTTTCATTTACAAAATGTAACATGTCTTTACAACACAATATATTGTTTGTACTATACAGGCATATAGATGGATAATAGATTCACGTGACACGGAACAGAAGGAAAGACTTAGTAAATTACGAGATTTTTATTCGGTATATCGTTGTCATACGATCTTCAACTGCACAAAAACATGCCCGAAGGTATGATATATTAAACATTGCACAAAAACGAAACAAAAACTAATACATTCTTATTAATTTGTGGCTAAGTATTAAAGCTATAATTTTGTTGAAGGGTTTAAATCCCGGGAAGGCAATAGCGCAAATAAAACGCTTGTTAGCGGGACTTACTAAAAAAGAACGACCGGATATAGAAACCCCACTTCCCAATCCTTGTAATGGTGAGGATGTGTATCAATGCAGAGAAGAATAATTAATAAAGGAAAAAATGTATGCTCAACATAATATTATTCTTGAAACAATTTGTAGTTGTATATAAATCGGTTTTTTGTACACAAAGTTTTATTTGTTTCAAATTTTTCCACGGTAGACTTTTATCAATTAAGTAGAAATAATATATAGTTAACTAAATTTTAATGGTTACAAGCATAGAAGAATTTGAAGTACAAAAATATCTAATAATTATTATTTAAATAACATTTTGGTATTTGTTTCAATTATTATAGTGTCATTATTAAATAACTTTGCAACTATTGTAAAATAATTGTACTGGTAGGTTAATCGTATTTGTACTTATTTTAAAGCTTACTATTACCAACATATTGAATTAGTAATCTCTTGTAACACGCTTTTAAATTACTTATATCTTACAGTCTAAAATTATTCGAATTACATCGTAAATACTGACGTATAACAAATAGATTAGAATCTTTTGATCGCTTTAATTTCGCAATTTTAACCTGCACAAGTTTCTGTCCAAAAATAATTTGCTCTTAAAAGGCAATTATCTTTATCATATATCATTTAATCCTATGTGTTTGTACTTATATTTCCAATCGTGCTCGTTTTACTAATCCATGATATTGCTCACTTTTGCATTGGTAAATGTCAGAAACACCTGAAGGAGCCATGTTTTCATCATTTTCTTTTGATAATAATATGTCAACAGCATCTCTGAGTTCACGATCTTGCAACCACTGATGCAACAAAACTTGCTTTATAGTAATTCTCTTTTTTGGGTTGACTGTCATCATACGTTTGATCTGAAAAGTTGTTGTTACAGGTTTAAATTACTTCACACTATGTTAATACATTAACTATGGTAACTACATTTTATATAATAGTACAGTATTCATACCAGATCTAAAGCTTTATCTGAAACATGACCAAATTTTGAAGAAGGAAAAGTATAATATCCTCTCTTTATTTGTTCTTGTAAGGAGATTCTTTTATCTGCACAATTAAATGGAACTGAACCGCTTAAACAAGCATATAATATTACTCCTAAACTCCATACATCTACCTGATAAAAAAAAAGTGTTATAAATAGCAAAACTTTACTATTTTTGATATTACTGTTTTTTTGATGAGATACAACAATATTCACAATGAAACATACATACTTGATTCGTGTAAGAACCACGTCCAATACTAGATAGTATTTCTGGTGCAACATACATAGGAGTACCACAAAAAGTTTTCATCATAGTTTGTGCATCAACTAATTTCGATAAACCAAAATCTGATACTTTAGCTAATGTAATATCTGAGTTGCTAGCTAACAATATATTTTCTGGCTACAATAAGGAACATTTATGTAGTACTTTTATTTTGTATTGAATAAAAAGGTATATTTTATAAAAACATACTTTTAGATCTCTATGTGTTATACCAGAGTCATGAAGATAACTAACAGCAAGTACAACTTGATAAAAGATTATTTTTGCAAATTTCTCTGAAAGTCTCCCCTTGCTCTTTATTCTTTCAAACAATTCACCGCCTTCCATTAGTTCTAAAACTATGTACACTGCTCTTGGATTATCTACAATCTCTTCCATTCGAATTATGCAAGGCTAAAAATAAAATATTTGTTAATATTTTATGTAATTGTAATAATTTACAGTCTCTTTAAACTTACATGTTTCAGAGCTTTCAATATCTTTACTTCGTTCATAATTTTCTCTGGATCATTCAGTGAATTCTTTTGTTCATTTGTACCACCCATTTTCATAATAGTTTTCATTGCAAACTTTTTACAACCTACTTTAGAGAATACCAATTTTACCTCTCCACATGCTCCAGAACCTAATTTACGAGATACTGCGTATTTACTTTTGAGCTCGGGGGGCAAGTCATTACTTTCAAACGCACCAGTACTCATAAATACATATACTGTTACAGATATACAAAAATATAAAGATTAATTATTATAATAATTATATTTCCAAATAAATTATAACAAATTATATTTACCAGTAACAATAGGTTGTGCTAACGATATAATGTCATTACTTTCTAATATAATTTTATTTCCACGGCCTACTCTTATTTTGTTAACGAAAGTACCATTTTGGCTTAAGTCTTCTAAATATACTACAGCATCGTTACAGTTACCGTCAATATATTCTCTAGTTATTTTAAAATGTACTTTACTCATTACACTGACCCATTTTGGTTTTAAATCATTTTTAGTTATGCAAATATCACAGCTCTCTGATCGACCAAGTGTATATATATTCTTGGTCAATTCTATATAAAAAATTACATACATTTAAAAGTTAGCATAGAACAGATATTAAATAATACTTAGGATGTAAATATATTTACCCACTGTTTTAAAAGGTAACTTAATAGGACACAATCTTCCCCAAATAGCTGTGGTTGTATCTTGTGATAATTCTTGAGATTGAGTCAAACATACTGATTCCGCGTTTTGAGTGTCAGGTAGTGTTAAAACAATATGTTCATCGTTCATAGTTATAAATTAGTTGGTTCAAAACAAACCAAAGATATGAATTTGTCGCCCACGTCAAAATTCTTGATACAAAAACGTAAAATTGATGCTCAACAACTCAACACAAAGAATACTAACCCATAGCAATAAAATTATATTATTATTTCTTTTTGAAATATTATTTAAAGCACAAAATACTTATTTTCCAAATAAAGATAACGAAAGTGACCTTTGAATTATTCTTGCAGCTTTATTAAAGAATTATGTCGAATCTATAACAAAAATCAAATAAGTATGGCATAACTTCAACCTGTAACGTAATTCACGATGTAAACATCTTCCTGAAATCGCGGCGCTAAATTTTTTTGGTCACAGACTAAGAAAATTTGTGATTTTATTCAAATCGTAGGTATATTAGGTATCTTCATTGCCTACATAATTTAAAATTGATAAAATTGTAATGAATATTTTATATCACTTAATATTTTAAGAATTAAATATTTATAGAAGTTACATTCATTTATTAGTCAAGTCGTTTATTACTAAGTCTGTGCTATATATATATAAGCATTTTTGGGCTTTCAGTAATTATGTTTGCCTCTAACTTCATATTTAAACCACAGGCTTAAAATCCATACAGATGTTACATGTTATAGGAATTTTTATTCTGACCTCTGAAGATCCTGAGAATCCTCGTATCGTTTCATTGTTATGCTCGACATTACTGATAATTCATAAATTTAGATTTGTTGATAGGAATTGAATTAGTTCTTTATTCTTTATTATAATTCTTTATATTAATTCTTTATTATAACTTTATTCATACTACAGTCGTTTAATCTGATTTGAACAATGTAGTGTTTAATAAAAAAAAGGACGCATAAGTCTGAAACCATTTTATGAAAATTAATTTTAGAATTTTCATTATAATACAGATAGTCTTCCTACATCACGGCATCTTACAACACGATTTCGCTCTAACATGATAAGATAAATTGCAAAAATCTTCATATAACGCTATACGTGGTTTCACACAACACAGCATTTTCTAGGAACCTATCTACTGTGTTATAGGAAGGTTATCTGTAACACGGTTTCACACAACACAGCATTTTCTAGGACCCATTTACCGTGATATAGGAGGGTTATCTGTAATACGATTTCACACAACACGGCATTTTCTAGGAACCTATCTACCGTGTTATAGAAGGGTTATCTGTAACACGGTTTCACACAACACGGTATTTTCTAAGAACCCATCTACCGTGTTATAGGAGGGTTACCTATACTTCTTTATTGGAATTCAGTTAAGTTCACATTATTCAGTATTTTACGCTCCAAGTATTCCGTTCGTGGACTAAAGAAAAAAATTATTTAAAGAAATTTTTTTGGGTATGTGTCAAAGGGTGACTTTTTGTTTTTAAAACTAATTTTTGGACAGTAAGCTTCAGTCCCAAGCCATGTCTGATAAAGATAAAAAAACAACATTTAAAAGGAAATTTATTTCTTTAGAAGTAAAGATACAAATCTTAGATCGTCTTTTAAAAGGTGAAAAAGCATCTCACGTTGCAAAAGATCTTAATTTAAATGAAGCAACAGTCCGAACTATTAAGAAAAATGAAAAAGAAATAAGAAGTGCAGTTGCTGCAGGATCTTCGATATCCGCAAAATATACAGCTCGTCCCCGGGCGCCAATAATTGAGAAAATGGAAAAGGCACTCAGCATTTGGATTAATGATAGCTGTCAAAAAAGAATTCCATTAGACGGTAATATCATTAAACAAACAGCACTTAAAATTTACAAATACCTTAAAGAACATGGAGAATCTTCTGTCAACCCAGATTTTGTGGCAAGTAAAGGTTGGTTCGAAAAATTCAAAAAGCGTTTTGCAATTCATAACATAAGAATTCAAGGAGAAACTGCATTGGTTGATCATGATGCTAGGACTTATCCAAAAAAAATTCAAAACATTATAGAAGAGCAAGGATACACAGCACATCAAGTTTTCAATGCAAATGAAACTGGGCTTTGGTGGAAAAAAATGCCTAATAGAACCTTTATATCAAAAAAAGAAAAAACTGCATCTGGATTTAAGGTATCTGAAGATCGTATAACGCTACTTTTGTGCAGTAATGCGTCAGGGGACTTTATGACAAAACCCTTGCTAGTGTATAGATCTTTAAATCCTTGTGCACTTAGAGGCATAAATAAAAACACCTTACCGGTATATTGGAAAACAAATCCAAGAGCTTGGGTAACTAGAGATTTATTTAGAGATTGGTTTTTGAATTGTTTTGTGCCAGAGGTTGAAAATTATTTAAAGCAGAAAAATTTGAGCTTCAAGGCGCTATTACTATTAAATGATGCTCCAAATCACCCACAAGATTTAAGTCATCCCAACGTCAAAATAGTATTTCTACCACCTAAGACTACTTCATTGCTCCAACCATTGGATCAAGGTATTATTTATACCTTTAAAACTTATTATATCAGAAAATCATTACAGTGGATTTTAGACATAACTAATTCAAAGTCAATTAATGTAATGGAAGCTTGGAAGCAATTTTCAATTAAGCACTGCATTGAAATCATATCTTTATCATTGAAAGAACTAAAAATATCAATGTTAAATGCATGTTGGAAGAAGATATGGCCAGCTTCAGTTGAAATAAAAAATGTGCTTGAATCATCAGAAAATGAAATTAGTGGCATATTAGAATGTGCTAAATTGATCGGAGGCGAAGGTTTTATGGACATGGCTATTGAGGATATTCAAGATTTATTAGTAGAAAAAGAAATTGACGAAGCGGAAATGGCATCGGAAGTTGTAAATCAAATCGATTCTGAGAACAATAACACTGATGAAGATTATGAAGTTAATAATTTAACATTAAAAAAATTACAAGAAGGCCTAAGCTTAGCTAAAAATCTTGAATCATTTTTCTTAAATGCAGACCCTCATGCTGAAAGAAGCCAAAAATTCAAAAGGGAGCTGCAAAATTGTCTATCTCCATACCATGAAATCTATAACGACCTTGTAAGAACCAGCAAACAAACTAAAATTACAGACTATTTTAAAGAAGGTAGAAGGAGCAAAAAATTTAAATCAAGAAAAAGGTTCAGAAAGTGAAGGTGATATCGTTCAACCGAAAAAATGTTCTCATTTGATTGTACCTGAGTAGTGATGAGGAAGAAATTTATTAAATTGAGGTTACATTAAATGAAAATAATATTTTTTGTTCCTTTTTGTTTTGTGTTTGTAAGATAGGATTTTGTAGGCTAAATAACATGATAAAACGTGGTTGAATAACACTTTTTTTACTTCGATGTTACTAGCTCAAATGCTACAAACTGAGTGCCCTGAGAACACTGTTTAGTCGGATGGTCCCATCTTGTCAGCGTTCTACTTTCCCTTCACTAAAATTATCTTGCATGTTATACATACATTTATATTTTTAATAAAAATTAAGTTGCTTATATAGAATTAAAAAAAAATTTTGTTTTTAATAAGTTTTCGGAATGTAACCTTCCTTTTTGTACTGGCTCTGAGTCTCATATAACAGTTTCACACAACACCGCATTTTCTAGCAACCTGTCTACCGTGTTATAGGAGGGTTACCTATACTATAAAATGAAATGTAATACGCGAGCACTCTAGTGACACTCCCCTTACGAAAAGTAGTAATAAAATAAGTAAAACAAGTAGCAATACTAAATGCAATTATCTGCAATTGTGGTAGCTATAGTAAGTTTTATTTGTCCTGACGTTTGTGATGCGACACGCGTTTTTCGCATAAATGCAGGGTTCTTAATTTTAAGACTTATCTAGAAGAAGAGGATCCAGTGTTAGTGTCAGTATTATTGGAAAGAGCAAAGCCTAATTTTTAATATAGAACAAGAATTGAATATTATTATTTACAATTGTGGTAGTTACTGAAAATTTTATTTGGTACAAATAAAAATGATATACCATAGTTGCAAATAATAGTATTCGATTCTTGTTCTATATTAACGAGTAGACTTTTCTCTTTCTAATAATACTGAAAATAACTATGAATTCTACTAACAATAAGTCTTAAAATTTAAAAATTTCATACTTATGAAAAGACCCTGTGATGCTTCGCAAGTGACGGTATAAATAAAAATTCCGTAATTACAATTGCGGATAATTGCACTTGGTATTGTTACTTGTTACTAATATCACCTACTTATTGTTTTCATTTGCACTTATTAAGTTGTTTCCAATGATACTGAACAGAGCACTGAACTCTACTAAATAAGTTTTCGAAATTGAGAATGAAAATAAAAAATGTTAAATAACATCTAATTAAAAAAAATATGTACGATATAGAAATGTACAATTCAAATACCTAGTACATTTACCTCCACCTCAAGTTGTTTAAATTGAAGAAACAATAAAGTTGTAATTGATTATTTTATTTTTCAATCTTTTCGAGTTTGTCTTCTTTAAAGCTGTGTAGCTGTATTAAATAAAATAATGTTATGTAAGAAAAGTTTTAAAATTTGTGTAATTAAAACGCAACAAATCTTCAAAGTTGAGAATTTGAGCTTCTTTTAACACGTTCCGTGCCACGGAAATTTTGACAGTATTGATTCTTTATATGTGCAACCTTTTTTTGGTTCTGGGAAAATTTATGAAAAAAGGATTTTTTATTGCGTTTGGGAGTTTCCATCTCTTTTCATCCGCGTTTCTATTTAGGAGGATATTGACTCGTATCCACAGTGCACCCTGCGTGTCTCCCTCTTTTTTTGAATCGGAGATTTTTCTGATTTATCTCTCTCGAATCAAGGTGTGCTTCCTTGATTCTTCTCTTTTTATCTCTCTTTTCCCAATAATTCTTTGGCATGTGTTAAACGAAAAGGTCGATGGAACTTTGATTTTTCTTATCTTCTAGGTTTAGCATTGTAAAACAAGAATAGCATTTAGCATTGTAAATTATCACAAAATTATCAAAATTAATCACTGTCAGAGGCAGAAGATATAATATTGAAGATAATCAGCTATAAAGTCGATAATCATGAAAACAGATGACTCAGAGAAACGGAATTATTCGGTAATAATAGAATTCTGTTTAGAAGTAAGATATTCTATCTACCGGTAAAAACATAGTCCTATGCCACTTCTACTGCTCATTCAATATGTATTTACTACTTTAAAATTTCAACCGTATGTTCTACTTATTTGACTATGTTCTGTTTTCTTCTATTGAAAGCTCTTTGCAAATTTTACTTCATAGATAAAGTTATCTATAGATTGCTTTTAACAAATACATTAGGTTATACCATTTTCACATAATGCGTTTCAACAAGCTGGCATGTTGTAGAGTCAAATTTTGTAATTAAAAAAATACAACTAAGAAGATCTCTAAACTAGGACAGACTCATTTTATTCGGTATGGAATTGGATCTTTTTTGGACTGAACATCAGAGATTCTTCTTTTTCGTTTTAGTCAAGGACTATTTTTGACTAACAATGAGTTTGATGCTGAATAATCAAAGGTTCCTGGCCACCTGAAATCTTCCTTCTTTTGACCTTACGCTATTGCTGGCCAGTGGTCAATGATTGCTAATGATCAGAAACACATCCTTCTTCCTTCTGGGTTATATGCCGATTGCAACAGCGATGAGTCGTTTACTTGTTTCCTATCATGACTGATTACGTTGCCGGATGAAAAATTAAAATTAATTTTATTTGCCTTTGTGTTTCGTTCTATAATCATTATAGATAAAGCTATAGATTATAGTATCTTGCGGTAGTATTTTAAAATTTATAGATAAGATTAAAGAAGAGACAATGCGGAAGAAAAAACAATGTTCTTTGGTTGTACATAATACTGCTACACTGCATGAACGCAATTTATTATAATCTTTGTTTATAAAACTAGGGTCGCAATACTGACTAATCACGTTTTTTTTTAGTGTTACAATATATTACATGTTTAAAAATATGCTAAAACCATAAGAACCGTAAAGCAGTTTGAATTAGTGTAAACAGAGGTTCGTGGCAGCTAAAATAGCTGTATACAATTATCCATATTTCGAAGTACTGCCCCAAATTCGTAGATACAGATAGTCCTCCTACAACACGGTTTCGCTCTAACACGATAAAATTGTTTTAGCGGAAACCCTTGTCTAACACTGTACACGGCTTCACACAGCACGGCAGTTTTTAGGAACCTATCTACCGTGTTATAGGAGGGTTACCTGTATAGTGTTGAGTATAATGAAGTAGAAGTGCATTTTTAGACAAAAAAAATGTTTCATTTATTCATACTCTGCTGGTAACGTTGCGAGTGACACAGATACGATAATGAGACTCTAAAATTACACAAAATTGGCAAACGAAAGCATATTGAATGTTAGGTCTGTTTCTTTATCTCATTGATGATATAAATATTCTTGAATGTAGCCAGGAAAAATACATGTAAGTAAGCGATATACTTGAACTAGTATATATTTTGTATTCCATTCAATTTTTTCTACCAAAGCATTTATAACTGACTCATAAATACATTTTAATATTACTTTAGTAAATAGTTCTTGAACTGACTGTCACCACAAACTTAAACTTATATCTTAAATCTGATGTTGAATATTCACAATTTCATTTTTTCATAATGCGGAGGTCGTTAAAATTATAGACCCTTTACGTCGGTATTATAGATTCCGTGGGACAATAAACTTGAAAAATGAATTATTTATACTATTTTCTATTTTTGCATATACTTGTAATTAGAAAATAGTAAATATTCAAAAATTTTTTTGAATTTTGTAACTAATATATACAGTTAATAAGCACATAATTGTATTCTTTGAATCTTTTATATCTTTTTCACAGTTGTTTCGTTTAAATATTTCCGTTGATTTTTAAATTGTATCATTAATAGTTTTCGCATTTTTTAAATCAAAGGCACCTAATAATAAATAAAATTATCATATTTTTAGTACAGTAAGTTTCATTATTAAGAATTAATGTTACTTATAAGTAACTTTTATACATAAAAGAATTTATTAAAAATTTCAATCACGTTGACTTAAGAAAACTTACCTATAAAATCAATTTTTCATACAACATTATTAATAATTTATAAAGTAAATAATTAAATCATGATATGAAATGTTATTATTGATTTGAATAATACATGGTAAAAATCTTTTGACATTATATATCTTTCAATTTACTGTTTCCGAATGTGCGAAAGTGGGTTTAACATACGACATGTTCCAACTTGTAGAATTTAATTGACAATATGAAAGTATATGTAGTTGAACAAAAATCATTTAAGTTTAAATATATTTAAGATTTAGAACCGCAAGTTTCAATAAAGATGTTGATTTGAATAATCATTTTACAAACTGGCACTGGACGAAAATGTATACAAAATCTTTGTGATGTGTACTTAATCTTACATTATGTTTAGTAGCTGTAATTAATGGTATATTTCTAATATCATTATTAGCATTATTACATTAATTAGAATTTGTTATTTTGGCAACTTACGGTTCAAATTTCACATTATCTTTACATAGCTGCAATTAAGTACAGCATAATCGACATAATGTTTGCTCAATGTCACTGTTGATTCACATATATTTCGTTTCCATTTTTACTGGCATTACATTAACGATTGTAGCATATGTTCCGTGTATTTGACTTTACAAAAATTTATTTATATATATTTACGAAAGTAAGAAAATACGAAACGACACTAGGGAATTATTATTCAATGATGATAAAAACATAAACATTTTAAATTACGAGACTTTTAGGTGTAAAGGGTTGGGCTAGCTCTTGAGCAGGAGGGACAGGGAAGTTAAGTTTATAACTATCAATATTAAGGTAATAATCGTACAGATAATTTTCTGCTTCATGTATATGTGTAAATTAGTTTTTTAGCTGTTTATTATTATGTAAAAGGTGAGCTGCATGTATTTCCTTTATGTTCTTCGTATCAATGGATGGTACGTCAGTGGCGGTGGTATAAACTTGATAGAGGTGTGTGAACTTATCTTCTATTTTCACACATGCTCTCTCTCCCTCACTTTGTATAAGGATGGGTCAGGCTTTATCCGTTTTTAGTGGCACTGAGATTCATTTAGCTTAATGCTGAGCATCGGTTTCTTTCTTACAGTGCTTACGGCTTCCCTATATCAATAAATACCAAAATCAAAGAAATCAATTCAGTTCCACATTATATATTTTCAAAAGGATTTTATATACTTACCAGAATTAAATAAGTCTTTCCATTTGAATATTTGTTCATCTCCTACAAACACTCTTCTTGGCTTTTTCTGACACACCTCGCCACCTTTCTCTTGAATTCTGTATAACTTTCCCTCCATTCTTTCTGTAATATAATTTTCATTTTTAACATTTTAATCTATTATCAATAATAGGAGTTTTTGTTAACGTAAAATATACTCACGGCAGCATCCACATTAGCAGGACTTTCATCATTAGGATCTGCAAGCATGCTAATAACACTTATGAGAATAGTCTCAACTGTGTGAACTGGTAACCACCGTTCTGAAGCTTTTTCATAGCCCCACTTATCATCTCCAGGTTCGTGTAAAATCGATATGCAAACATTACCATTCTTCTCGACTACAAACACAAAGTAATATAGTTTTTAATTATCTTTTAGGATTTATATTTTTATTTATTTGATAAATAAAACTTACTGTTTGGATGCCATATTTCTGTTATAAATTTCATTCTGGGTGGCCTAAGTGGATACTCTTTTGGAAATTCTAAGTGTGCTTTGAAGAATCCACCTTCACTAAAAGACAAAGAATAACAATATATGTATAAATACATGGGTGTGAAACTAACAATATTAAATAAATAATGTTATAAAATTAATCTTACTATAATGTATCTGGTGGACCAATAATGAGTACTTCCCACTGATATATGTCATTGTCATCTATGAGGCCTGCTGAAAACCCTTCTACTGGGTTTTTATTTAATTCTGTGGGACAAAAGAAAAAATAAATGAAGTATTTCCTTTATCCATCAACATAATTTTCTAATGAAAAGAATATTTAAAACAAAATGGAAATTTATGTGCCAATGACTATATCAAACCTGTATTTCAGGGTACTTCCACTTCAAAACTATAAGTATATTAACTGATAAATTATAATGGCACTGAAAGTATTTCCTCGTTTAAATAAACACGATACAATTAATAATACTTTCAACTTTAGACAATAGAAACATTAGAAGGACACTGTGAACACGAGGCTATATATCATTTACATAAAACGAAGTAACACTTTTGTTATTCATTCAGTATAGGTTAGGTCAAATCAAACCTTACTAAATAACCGTCAAATACACACGAGTTAATGACGGTGAGTCAGCGTTGATATGATACTCTGGGTAAGAATTTAAACGTAAAATTTGAAAGATTATGTCGACCATCGATCGAGAAATAAAATGTAAGAAATAATAGAAATACAGTGATTTTTGGAATAATTTTTAGCGTCGATCGT